AACCTCAACCAGATAGTCTGTATCTATTAAGATGACTAAATCCAATCGTCAGTGACCCAGGCATTGCTTACTCCATGGTCCCGAAATACGCTATCGATAAGTTACTAGTAAATATCACTGCTCTTTCCACAGCTTTTTGAATATCATACCAATCTACATGGAAGTGGATATCATTTTTACGGTTGATTAGCTCCTTCTCTAGTTGTTCCTAAAATATATATTACAAACTTTTTCATCATTCACTTGAAGTCTAAGGGGTTTCTTGTTGTAGCTTTTCTGTGCTCTTTAAGATGCAGACAACTTTGTGCTCGGACTGAAAAATAATCCGAGTTGAAACATGTGCTCCAGAATGAGCGACAGTGTTCTATCGAGCCCTTCCAACGATGGCTAATGTAAATGTGATCCATTTGAGTCTTAATAAGTCGATCATGGAGGTCACCACATCAGAAACATACCTTTCTACAGTCAGTAGTATGACTTCACCCTTGTGCCTTAAGTTTCTGCTGTTAGTCTTACCGTTCTCCAACCGACCTGTCTGGTATGATAGGACCTGAAGGAACATATGTTCCAACCAATATAGCCTGGTTGAGTCACCACTATAGGCAAAAGTAGCAGCTACATTCGGGCCTTCTAACAAATTCATCTTTTCAATCAGACAAGTTAATTACGTCTAATATCAAGATCTAGAGCTTGTTTTTTGTAGTTTATTGTGCGTGTATGTGTGTGTGGTCAAAGATTACTACACTGATCAGAATATCCATATGCCAATCTAAGGAAAAGTATACTTCCCATAAATTTTTTCTGTTCTATTTTGTTGCTGATTCAAAAGATGTGACTAGTACGCAGAATTTCCGGTAAATACGCGAACTTTAGTCATATAATTTTTGTTTTAACAAATTTCGAGGTACATCCATCTTATCTCCTCTTAAAATATTCCTAATTTTATGTCAATACACTTGTGTCACCTCTGTTTTTACTGTTCAAAACATTCCTGTAAATCTCCAAAAGTTGGTTTTCTTTAGTTATGCCCTATGATTTCAAGCTCTATTGGAGTACCGAATACAATGACCCACACAAGGCACTTTATTTGTGTGTGGGCTGTGGTGCTGTCCGGGTGCCCAGACCGAAGCAGGTAGTATTTTTAGGGGCTCAAACCCGTAGCCTTCGACCTAAAGGTCCGATCCACAAGGCAGTGGAGCAACATAAGGAGATGCAGTCCTATTGTAGCTGGTGACTAATAATTGATTCATACGCTATTTGTTTCTACAGGATCCTTGAGTCCGTGTGCACGATTGGTTTGGAATCAGGGTTTTCCATCTCCCCTAGGTGGATCCTCCGTGTTCACCAACTCGGTTAAATCGTCGGACATTCGCTTTTTTTCCTCTCAATTTCGTAAACAACAGTAATGCCGCGAGAAGGGATTGAGTAGGACTTCCGTGGTAATGGCTGTATACGCGTGACCATGTGAGGGCATTTTGAGAAGGAGAGCGGACTCTCTCCACTCTCGACCGTAGCAGGACATTTGCAGACATATATACCCATATGTGTTTTGAATAAATATAGTAGAAGCTGGCTTCTGACTTGTCTTCAGATTCATGGCAGCAGATGAAGACATAGCGTACGAATAATAGGCCCATAGAAATGTAACTTGCTCAAGGTTAACTGTGCCAATCAGAACGTATAATTGTTCAAGTCTTTAGACCAAATAGTAGACACAGAATAGAAAAAGTTCTAATCGAAATTCTATCTAATAAATTTAGTACGTGATATCGATTGGCGTCTTAAACCATAACATTTGTGTGTGTGTGTGTGTGAAATGTGGCAACCTGAGCTGAAGTACATATATTTCAAGCTCTATATTGCATATCACTTAGTGACTGGATTAAACGATCTTAACCCCCTCCCTAGTAAAGATCATCACTTATAATTGATTCCATCCAACAACACCAGCAACAACAAAATTAACCCTTACATATTGTTAACTTATTTATACTATATTCAATTAGTATTATTCAATGAAGATTTATCTCATTTTTTTAAAAATGAATCATGCAAATTGTTGAAATTTTAAACAAATAACTTCGGATACATGTGATACCAGTTTTTATTGTTGATATTGTTGTTGCTATTAGCAACTATTTAACACTATTGTTATTTGACTTTCTAATAAAAATGCTTCACAAACCAAACCCCCCCCTCCCCTTCTGATAATAATAATCAAAAAGGAGAAGATAATAACTAAACTCTCAATTAAATTATAACTCATGAAATTTAGTATCTATATAATAACAAAACAAAAAAAATCTTTACTTTAAAGAGGGAGGGGGGAAAGACAGAGAGAGAGATAAGGAAAAGGTTTAAAATGTAACCTCTTTTTTTAAAAAAAAAATATTGGTAACAATAGATCTATCAATTGATCAATATATATAGATACAATTATGTATATTTGGTTGTTTGGTTTCCCTAAAATGACCTATATGTTGTAATCTGTTCGTTTTTTTTTCCTGTTTTGAATGTGATCGTTCAAATAGGGAAAGATCGATATATGTATAGATACATAGTTTTAGGATTGTCTGTAACCAATATGATTACTATTCAATAGAAAAGATTTATGAAGACATAATATGATCTTCATTCAATCATAATTACATAACATGTCTTTTTTTTCAGTTTTGGGCTAAATATATTTGTATTCTCTCTTTTCTCTCCGATCGATTTTGTTTATTGAGTATTCTCTATGTTTTACATAGTTGAGATCATGAATCAATTGAAACTAGACCATTATGGAAAACCTGGAAGCACTGAACGATCGTTTTGTCCTATTGTGGAACTCCTCAGCAGTGCGCATCTAGCTTCAATTGACTCATGATTTCAACTATATAAAATTACTCCACAAATCTCCACAAAACCCCCTTCTGATATGTGTATGTTTGTGTTTATCTATTATTATTGATAATATTGTATTCTAATCACTTTGAAGTTGACATGATGAAATGATTCTAGCTAGATAACCACTGAAAATCAAGAAATACTGGACAGTTGTTTCATCCTAATACTACGAGACTCCTCTATAATGCCTATTTACAACTCTGTCAGAAATCAAACGTAGGACATTCAGTCCTCTCAGCAAACACTGCCACTGAGCCACTATCTAATCTTTTACAATTCTGAATCTAATCAATTGACCATATCGGACGAGCATCATCCATAGCTATTAATGATATTTATCTTACATCTAACGTAGTCGAACTTCACTGATCACTGTTCTTCACTGAAATTCTGGGAATCATCCCTTGAAGTTAGTCACTGGTAAACATATATTCAACCTTCATATTTGACTAAAAATAGGTAAGTCTTCACCGCGAAATTGCATGAATTGATGAATCGTTGAGCAAATCAAGAGGCCGTTTCGTCCTATCATGGGACTCTTCAGCAATGCGCATCCACGATCCCGCACTCGCGAGATTCGAACCTACCAGTCTCGCGCCAGAGCACTTAATCGATAGACCACTTAGCCGGCATCCAACGGTGTTAAGGTCTAACTTCAACTAACGCACGAAGTTTGAGCAACCGTTCACTAATTGTCTTCAGTGAGTTGTTATCTCACAACAGACGTGTTGCCAGCTATTCGATATTGGTCTAGTTTCAATGGACTCATGATTTCAACTATGAAAATACTCAAATCTCCACAAAACCCCTTCTGATTCCAAATCAGGAGGCATTGAATAAATGTTTCATATAATTTTTAGGATTTGTGAGCAATAACCAAAGGTTAATGACGATAACTAGACTAGATTTAGTTTTCTATTTTATCATTATAATTATTATTGTTATTATTTATGAACACTCACTATCAGCTAAACTTGGATATTGATATGACATTGGTCACTTCTTATTGGTCAGTTGACTGTAAATATCTCAATCCTATAGAATGTCAATCGCAGCATAATATATTTCAGTGATATCTCAAACTGGAGAAGTTGTAATAACGTGGTTTTCAATTCCACAGGAAATATCAGTTTCCTAAAGACTAGAGGGGTGAGACTAAACTTTATGGACGACCTTTGAACGTATCTCAAATGACCTTGATAAATATTAGCCAATCAGAAGGCAGTTAGTATACAGTAAAATTAAAGCGGATACTGTTCTTTTACATGGCTCAAAAACTTCGTAAGGTCAGATATAGGTTCAGAAGTTCTAAAATCATAGTGCATACGGTACAGGAACTCATCCATATGACTCCATAGTAGTCGGCCTCCGGAGCCATGATATGGTCTCAACAATTATTTTATCCTCGACCACATAGCTTCAATGTTGTTGGTATGGTTTAGGGTTAGAGTTAGGACCTTAACCTTAATCGTGATCGAGTCATTTGAGTACCACAGTCACAAGTATAGAAACTTCTTAATAATCCCTTCTCTTGTAGACGCTGAATTATTACGTCTTCTCTAAAATCCGCTGTAAACCGATCGTACGTAAGCATCAAGTACCGAACTTAGTGCCGTGACCTTGAAAACCCACGAAAGCTTCTGATTAGCTCGTCTATAAAGTTTAGTCCCGCCAACTGTGAATACTCCTTGTTAACAAGAGCCAACTATCCAAATATGTAGGTTAATCAAAGTTTCCTACCGACTAATTCTAACTATTTCACATGTATATGTTTATGTTAAATGATTGTTCATTTAAGAAAACACTGTCAAGTTTCATTCGGTCATTGTTTTGTTGCTTCACACACACACACACATACAGTTACTCTCACCCACCCACTCATTTTCATCCCTCTAATTTTGTCTCTTCTGGCATCATTTTTTTTTTTAATCTCTTTTCATAATTCATTAATATGTCAGTTTTATTACTATTATTATTATACATATATAAATCAATATTTTTTTTTTCAAGGGAAAATCTATAATGATGTTTTTTTTCTATTTTCTTTCCTTTTCTCTCTTATACTTTTTGCTTTGATTTGCTTTCCCATTCGTCGGGAAACAATTTAAAAGAATGATTTCAATCTTGTGGTGAGTTTAATTACTCAAGGCAATCGAATGGTGTATATGCATCATTTTCCAATGCATAAATCACGTTTCAATGAAATGTAAGTTGAAAACTAAGTATAATTTTTTCATGTTTACTTTACAGTCAGTCAGTCAGCTACGACATAGGACCAGGCATATATATGCTCAACCGTTGCTGCTACCATAACGTGGTGGTCGGGCTTAGCTATCGTGATGAATCAATCGAGGTATACTAGCTGGAACTATCGTTCCTCAAGGTCCTACCATGTCAGGCAGGTCGGTTGAAGAGCTGTAAGACTAAAAGCAGCAAACCCAAGGTCTGAAGGCGAAGTTGTACTGCTGACTGTACAAAGGTGTGACGACAGTAAGGTGTCTCCTTCAGATAACCAGCATAACAGCGATGTTGCCTTCCTACAAAGGAGGGATAAAGTTAGGAAAGGTCGACTCTAAAGATGCACACCTCGCCTTAACCCACAGATATCCATCTCCGGCGGTAAGGTCCCAACAAGTACCGAGCTAACACAAAAGTTACCCACAAAAAGGTCGTGTGTAGCCGACATCAAGTAGTTGTCGCTTGGGCACTGAGGTCACGCTCTCGGGTCATTAAGACCACGTATAACCCAATTTCTTTTTCAGGTACCTCTAGAAGTACCCTTCCACTATGTGGGCAACCGTGAAGTGATAATTTCCCTCATACTAATAACAGCACTCAAGACCACTGTATTCATAATCAATTTCTTTCTACACTCCCTACTATTCCTTCTACCTCAACTTTCAATACTAAACTTCCTCTTTCGGTTTCCTCCTCAAGTGTCATCATGGTCTACCATTCTAGTGCGCGAAACATTGTCTCAGGTCTACTAAAACCTCGCTCCAAACTACACATTAGAGCTTAAGTCAAATCGGTCAACAGGCCTCCTTGGTTAAGACCCGTAGAATCTCGTACCATCGATATATGCTGTGTCTCCGAAACACGCATGCAGGATCCCAGTGTGGTCATTCACTTGACCTCACCTCGCCAAAATGGAAAGCCAACGAGATACACCCTCCGTGTATCTGGCGACCCGTTGGCTAGTTCTCATGAACTTGCAGGTGTAGACATATCACTAAGTACGAGAGCAGAACAAGCACTATTATAATGGATCCCCGTTAACAGTCGCTTATGTGCTCTTCGACTAAACGGCTATTTTATTGGAGAATCTACCTATTTTAGCTAGTGAGATGGTTCGAATTTCACAAAATTGTTAGAAAGTCATTGTTCAGCATTTGGAGCCACTCGGAAGTAAGCTTACAACTGTGGTCTACATAATATATACATATAGCTAATATGTTGAGAAGAATGTGTATTACATGTATTAAACTATTGACTGCCTCTGTGAAGAATATTAGTTGGCACAAGGTTGTGTTTGAAGGAGACTAGGTTTGGGGTAGATTATGACATTGCATCGATCCATAATTTGTATCTTTAGGGTGCATAATGCTAGGTTAGGACACTCAGAATAATCGTCATATATATGATTGTAAACGTTTAGTGATAAGAGCACTCATTATTGGTATGGAGATTATTTAGACTATCAGATAACGATTTCATTTTTTTGAGGTCAAGTACATTAGCTTAACACTTCCGATCAAGTAATTGAATAATTGCTTATTTAACTGATAGAATGTAATAACTTGAAAGGATAAATTATTTCATCCTTTAGTTTCAGGTGAACTGAGCCACTTATCATCAAGTGCTTAAATTGTTTCTATTTAGTCACCTAGTCAATGGTAAAAGTGATCGTCAACCATAGGAGAATACAAGTGTTTAATGAAAGACAAACGACATCGCAAATACATAGAGATGAGCGTTCGAATTCCATTTGTGATATTAGTTTCTTCAAGACTACATATCCTCCTTGTTAATGAATGTCGATCAATATGACATCTACTTCTAGGACAACTACCCATCGTTCGCTCCAAATACGTTCAGGCTCTTTCTATGGGTTTCATGCAAATAACCAACTTTTGTTCAAGATATACTTTTACTTACAATTGTGATGAGTGTCTAAGTTCCCTTTGTTCAAGTATTTGAACTCTTAGGCAGACGTTTATACCACTGGATCAACTGGTTCACGGTCCCAACTTCTGTACTTTGAATATCATTTAACAAGTACAGTTTTATTTTATCTGATGTGAACTACATATTGTGTGTGCTTTTGTATGAAAGAGGGCTAAGTGATATTCCAATCTACGATCTCTTGGCTTGAAACCGAATGCTTTATCAACTAAGCAGTTGTTTCTTTGTTATTATTTATTTCTATGTAATTAAAAGCAAATTACATTACTATTGTATTACAACTGAATTATTAAAAGTAATGGCTACATTTCACTGGATAATAGATATTATGAAACTGATTACTTCCCACTGTTTATTATATGTATTTTGTTCAACAGTTGTTTATACTGTGATTAAGTAGTTTATTTGGGGAATTACTTTAATGTGACGAATATCTCATCATGGATTGTAGAACAGCTTGGTACAGTGGTTTTAATGATCAAGGGTTCATGGCGAGACTTGAAGGTCCTGGGTTCAATCCCTGGCAAGATATGGGGTGTGCATTATCGACTGGTTTTATACTAGTATGAAAAAGCTGTCCAGCATGTCCTAGTTCTATTTAATACTTCAACTCAAATCAATCTATAATAAATACAATCTACATGACGATTAGTTTCTTCAATTCTAGTAGGACCCTCCCAAGAGCACTTACGTACAAAACTTTAGGGGACCAGAATCCTGAGAAACTACTTTTCGCATTCAAAGGGTTACAGTTTTTTAGACAAATCAATGAGTTGATACTTATATTCATCTTCAAAATATTTCCGAATCTATGCATTTGAAAGCATATATGCCGATAAAGACTGATCGAAATAGAATTCGGATTGTTAAGAACAAAATTATTTGAACTCTTATTAAAAATGATGTAAGCATCATATACGCTGAGCAACTTATGTTTTATCTGAGTCAGTCAGTCACAACGTAGAACTTCGTATGTACGTACATCAGTTCGAGTTCCCATACCGCATTAGCACAGAGATGAAGTTGTTGATTCAAATCCCATAGTGGTAGATGTAGTAAGAGTATAAGAATTATGTGAAAGCTTAGTTTTTGAGGATGTTATTGAAGGAGTATAATACAGTGAAATAAATTTGAAAAGAGAAAAATTATAGGGACATGAAGAATTCAAAAAGTTAGAATTTGGTCGAACACAAAGAGTGGATGCACCTTCGCCATTGCAAACGATGTTGAGCCATATCATTCAAGGTCTCTAACCATCGATTGCTATCATCTCGCGCATCTCAACCAGCTAGTTTACACCTACCAGCATGGCTCAGTCCAATTGTCAGTTACTTCATAGATTTGTGATACGTGTTTGTCTGACCACCCCGAGCTTTCTTCCAACCTACTCCTACACCATGAAACACTGCACTTCGGGGCAGTCGTTGGTTAGGCATACGTAATACGTATCCCAGTCATCTCAACTGATGAAGTTTCACTACTTCATCAATCGATTTGCCATCCTTACCTAGTACCCGTTTCCTAACAACTGCATTACTTACCCGTTGGTCCCAGGATATACGAGCAATGCTTCGAAGACACCCATGATCGAATACTAGTAGCCTACGAATATCCTCTAACGTTTTATCTGAACATATCACCGTTTAAGACGAAAGGTATTAGGTTCGAATCCCAATTTTAAACCTGGGGGCGCAGATACATTCAATTGATAAACTCCGAACAAAATGAAACTCACGTTCTAGATTCTATTGATAGCCACAGGACGCCTATTCTATAAAAACACTATAATTATCAAGACTTTCTTGCATATTCACATATACTATCTTTCCTCCTCCTGTCATCTTTTTCTCTTTCATAAATTCTAGTTTTATCAGTTTTTTGAATTATTCCTCGATGGATAGTCATATTGACTTAATGGTTGCCTATGAATCTGATCATATGAAGGTGAACAATAATCATTCTCATGGTAACAATGATGACGACGATGGTGGTTGCATTCAAGGTCCTACAATACGTTTTAAATTATGATTCTCAATAACTTTGTTTTTCTTGATTATATAAAGTTCTTTATATGTACTACTTATGTATAATCTTAGTACTTATATGTTACTAATTGTATAGGTAGAATATATAACTCTGAAAGTAGTATGTATATGTACATTTTAATCTTCTCAATTGACTTCTGTTTGAACATGTTAATGTGATTTGGATACAATGTTCTATGTTATTTTATTACATGAGTAATGTATATTATTTCATTGAATTTGATCATTTTTGATGTAGGCTTGTTCTCTGAGCTGGATGGTTTGGTCGTGGAGCTTTCATCGTCCTTCTGAACGACATCATCAGCACAAACTTCGGGTAGAAGTGAAGTGTTTGTGCACACTTCACTTCTACCCGAAGTTTGTGCTGATGATGTCGTTCAGAAGGACGATGAAAGCTCCACGACCAAACCGCCCAGCTCAGAGAACAAACCGAGATCAAAATCACCCACCTGAGTTTCATATCTTCTCAACCATCTCATTTGATCATTCTTTGTACCCCCTGTGTCTCTCACTCGTTCTCTATCATAATTCAACAGATTTCCATTTAAATATAAATGATCAATTTAGTTGCTATGCTCCAATTAAAACAATTCAATAGAATATATATGTATCTTGATACAATCTTCATACATTGTTTCTAATTTAATGATTATCTTGTATACAAATAATACTTTTACTCTGGTAATCTTTATTATTATCCTATTAGCTTTTCATTTTATTAATATTAATGATAGATAAGTGCCCTCGTGCAGCCGAGAGTGGGGAGAGTCCTCTCTCCCTCTCCAAATGCTCTCACATGGCCACGCGTGTATAGCCTCTGTCAGGGAAGTCCTACTCACTGTCTTCTCGTGGCATTACTGTTGTTTACAAAATTGAGAAGACGAAAAGCAAATGTCCGGCACTTTAACCGGGTTGGTGGACACGGCGAGTCCACCTAGGGGAGTTGGAAGACTCTGATTCCAAACCAATGGTGTACATGGGCTCCAGTATCCTGAGGGAACAAATGGCGTATGAATCAATCATTGGTCATCGGCTACCATGGGACTGCATCTCCTCACGATGCTCTACTGCCTTGTGGACTAGACCTTTAGGTGTGGCCCCCTAATAAAACCACCTGCTTCAGTCTGGGCACCTGGGCAGTATCACAGCCCTCACACAAATCAAAGGAGATTTGTGCCGCGCATATGTATTCGGTGCCTCTTTGTCCCAATATTTATGTTTTCAAATAAATAAATAAATTTTCAATTTGTATTTAATACTTCTGTGGAACTGTCGAGTCGCAGTTGACTATGATCACCACTACAGACCAATTACGTGCCAATTACCAGATTAAATCCATCAGTAGGATAAATATAAAAATGACAATTGTAGATTATAATTAGACTATATTTGTTCATGATCTCGTGATATCGAATTAATACCGAGATCGTTTCAAAGATTACAGGCGAAACTATCTTGCGTACGTGAGTAAGTTCAAGGTCATAAACCACGCAAAAAGTGTTTTTTTGGTACAATTAAAAAGGTACAGTAACACAATTACTAGTACGGTTGGTTATAATAATAAATGTTTCCATTACACCAACCGAGTTCTGTTCATAAAACTAGATCACTATACGTCTATCCCAATATGTTTAGCTTATGATTCTGTTAAAACTTTGATTCGTCTTTTTAAATATGATCCAATAGTCAATTATAAACTATGTTGAAGCTGATACATTTGTGCCAACAATTTAGATTATTACACTTTACGCATTACCACAAAAAGATCAAGTTTAAAATTTGGTTCTTCATTTGTCGAACTCCGCCTGTAGCCCCTCCGGTGGCTACTGCCGATCTTTGGCCCAGACAAAATAGGAGGGTTGAGCATGGGATTAGCGATCCCATTCCGTAGAAAACTAACTCGCCAAAAAAAACTAGAAAATTTATTCATCTTTTGTCGAGTGGTTTGTCTTTCATAGACTTGTTTGCTTGATCTATTCAGTTATTTTGTAATGTTATCTTATCCCGACCGTTGCTGCTGCATTGACGTGATAGTCGGGCTTGCTTATCGTGATGAACCAATCGAGCTATACTAGCTGGAACAATCGTTCCTCAAGGTCCTACCATGTCAGGCAGGTCGGTTGAAGAGCGGTAAGACTAAAAGCAGCAAACCCAAGGTCCGAAGGCGAAGTTGTACTGCTGACTGTACAGAGGCGTGACAGTAGTAAGGTTTTTCCTTCAGATAACCAGCATAACAGCGATGCTGCCTTCCTATAAAGGAGCGGTGGGGTTAGAAAACGTCGACCCTAAATATGCACACCTCTTCTTATCCCACGGATATCCGTCTCCGGCGGTAAGGTCCCCACAAGTACGGAGCTAACACAAAAAGGTCGTGTGTGTGATGGACATCAAGCAGTTGTCCATTGGGTACTGCGGTCACGCTCTCAGGTCACTAAGACCGACTCTAACCCAATTCCCTTTTCAGGTACCTCCAGAAGAACTCTTCCACGTTGTGAGCAACCGGGAAGTGGTAACTGCCCTCATACCTCTAACAGCACTCAAGACCACTGTATTCATAATCAATCTCCTTCACTACCTACTATTCCTTCTACCTCGACTTTCAACACTGAATGTTATCTTATACTTTGATTATTCATTGTTTAATTTTCATGATAATCACGATATTCTTTTTTTTGGCGTCATTTCAAAGAATATATATTTGTGTATGTATGAAATGATAATTATGTTTTCTGGTTGTAACTGAAATCCCTTTGATTTATATCTATTTATTAATCTTTTTGTTAAAATATGAAAGTAAAATTAATCCATAAATTGGATTCAATTTTAAGTAGATTGAAGTTAACAGTTGTAAATCGTTTGGATCATGAGTCAATAAGCTAAATGTAAAGCATTCATTGGATAAAATCTAAGAACTGAGAATGTCTTATTACAAAAATAAAACGTTGGATTTCAGCTCAGTAGTCTAGAGGTTAAGAGTTCGTGCACGAAAACTGATAGGTCCTGAATTCGGTTTGCACGAGCGGGATCGTGGATTAGCACTGCTGTGCAGTCCGATACTAAGATGAAAAGATCGTCCAATGTTTCCAGGATTTCCATGGTAGTGTAGCTTCAATTGACTCATAAATTCAACAACATGACATGTTGCATGTAGTTTGTTATAATTCTGGGTATTTTTCATATACTTGATTACATGTTAATGAATATTCGAAATGGGTGCTCATTCAAGTTTGTCGTATTCTGAGTTTTAATAAAACTTCACTTGTACCAGTTTTGTTGTTTCTTACTTCGTGTCATGGGAATTGAAGTGGTTCCTTGTTGTTTTCAAGTATAAGTGATAAGCGGCGCAGACGTAATACCAGTTGTAAATAACATGTCAGACAACTGCTGAGGAGTCCCATAATAGGACGAAACGGCCGTCCAGTGCTTCCGGGTTTTCGATGGTGGTCTAGCTTCAATTGACTCATGGTTTCAACTTTGAAAAATACTGAAATCTCCACAAATCTCCTTGTAGACAACTATATTCCTAAACCTCTGATCTCAACTTTAAATCCCTATACTCTAATGAAGGACAATCTTAGAACTTCCAAAAGTCTATTTTCATCCGTAATGAATTAAAATGATCGAATTCGTAATGTCTACGTAAACAAGTTTAGATGTGGTTGTTCTTTCGATTTACAATTAAAACAACCTGTCAAAAACTTTAATAGATTGACTAATCACATAAATCCTCCTCCACGATGTCTATTAAATTAAGTCTGGAAAATTAATAAAATCGCTAAAGCAACTAAACTTTGACAGGTTTCATTACTTCTATTACGAAGTACCTCTGATTAATACAGACTCTCTGGGTTCGAGTCTCGGATTGAACATCAACTCTGGGATGCATTTATATCCAGCTCAGGAATCTCAAAATAGGACGGAACACGTACTGGATTCCACTACTAACCATCATCCATCTTTGCTTATAATGCTTGTGACTTCAGGCAATTCCCACAAGATGCCAATGAGAGACTGAATAATTGCAGTCATAAACATCAATGAAAAGATTCAGATAAACAATACAAGAAATGATTGTTAGTGAATATGTTTAGAAATCGATAGCTTGTACATCATTTGTCCCGAAAAAAAGACTAAGACAATTGATACATAAGCTTATTTATCAACTGCGTCACAAGGCGAACCCTCACTTGGAATCCTCAAGACCAAAGAATACATTACGCCGAGAAATGGAGACACAGATATGAGTAGAACTAGAAAGAAAGGCCCAGGACAGAGTGGGTTGGAGAACGCTGGTCGGTGGCCTATGCTCCAGTGAAGGTAATAGACATAAGTAAAGTAAGTAAACAGACCACTTCATGCCACAAAATAGGAAATAACATTTGTACAAGATCAAGACAAAAAGTGGCTGTGATTGTGAGACTTTAATTAATACACTGAATATAACTTAAGGATAGTCAGTCTATTATAATACGAGGAATGTAAATATACATAATCTAGCTACTCAATAGTTACACAATGACAACATATGTATCATATTAGCCAATTAATAGCTCTCAGAAGTTACCCATAGTTTAATCTTCGCTATGATATAACAGTTTTAATGGTGTTTATTGATAAGGATTTGAATCTCACTATTGAAGAAGTTATTGGTTATGTGGACTGAGTATGTCAGCGGATGTGTTGACTCCAGAAGCTAGAAGTATTGGTTCCGAATTTGAACGTAATACATCAACTGTAGGATACAAGTAAATTCAGCTGATAGGTTCCAAATAGAACGAAATGTATTCCTTGAATCCCATTATTATATATAATCCATCTAAAGTACGAATAATGGTTGACTGATCGCCACGTTGTATTTCATCTTATTATTCACTTGTTGAATGAAGCAAGTAAATGTCAATTCATACTGGATTGTAGGTCTTTCTCGAATAATAATAAAAATTAGACATCGTACTACTCATTCAGTTTAAGACTGATAAGTTG